CTTTCATTGTCTTTTTGCTACAAATTTCCAACAAACATCTGGCATGCACGGTTATTAACCATGTACACCACACCACTGTAGGCGTTGAAAATTGCCTATAGGTCTCCACGAACAGCTCGAGGCTAAGAGAAGATGATGAACATCACTATCCAAGTCACAGAAACTTGATTGATGTCGACAAACACATGAAGTGGGTTGACGAACTATGTGAAGCAACGGAGTTTCAGAATAATAAGGATACGAACTGATCGGGAGCCCCGTGTCACTTACAAAAGACGAAATGCCCTTCGTGTCTCATTTATTCCATAGATGATCTAATCATTGGATCTTATAGAACTCTTCGTCAGCTTTCCAACGCACTTTGAATCGTTCAAATCCGAGTTCGGATGAAGAAGTTACGGCGAAAACAAACAAACAGGCATAACGGAACGTCTCAGGCTGAACTGGGACACCCGAGGTGTCTCGGCACGACCGAGACACCCTAAGGTGTCTCGGCCATGGCCGAGACACCCAAGGGTGTCTCGGACAAAGCCGAGACACCCAAAGGTGTCTCAGAACTTGTGGAGCTGTTTTGACCATGATTATTTTTAAATCTGAAGAAACTCAAAACATAAAAGTTGTAGATATTTTTATCATCTTTCGAACCCATATGGAATCAGGTCATTTGGAGGTCATATGAGGAAGTTATAACCAAAATAGCGCTGAGACACCCAAAGGTGTCTCGGACCTGGCCGAGACACCCAAAGGTGTCTCAGAACTTGTGGAGCTGTTTTGATTATGATTAGTTTTGAATCTGAAGAAACGCAAAACATGAAAATTGTAGATATTTTTGTCAGCTTTCCAACCCATCTAGAATCAGGTCATTTGGAGGTTATATGAGGAAGTTATGACCAAAATAGCACCGAGACACCCAAAGGTGTCTCGGACCTGGCCGAGACACCCAAATGTGTCTTGGAACTTGTGGAGCTATTATGACTATGATTCGTTTTGAATCTAAAGAAAATCAAAACATAAAAGTTGTAGATATTTTTGTCATCTTTCCAACCCATCTGTAATAAGGTCATTTGGAGGTCATATGAGGAAGTTATGATCAAAATAGCGCCGAGACACCCAAAGGTGTCTCGGACCTTGTGGAGCACTTTTGGCCATAATTAGGTTAGAATCTGAAGAAACGCAAAACATGAAAGATGTCGATCTCTTTGTTAGCTTTCCAACACATCTTGAATCACTCAAATCCGAGTTCGGATGAAAGAATTAGAGCCAAAATACTAAAGAGGGTACAAACTGTCTCGCACAGGTGCGAGACACCCCGAGCTGTCTCGCACTTGGGACGTGTTTTTGACGGTTTTCGATCGGTTTTAACCACCCGAAACCTCCTGGAGCCTATAAATACAGCCCCGGGTCCTCATTTATTTCAGATCTGGAATTTTGGAGATTAGGCGAAGCCCTGCCGGATCGAAGACTGAAGGTGCACGAATTTCAGAGAGGAGAAGGAGTAGAGATCTGATCAAGTTCGTCGGCATAAAGAAGAAGAGCTCGTCAGATCTGCATCACCCGCATCCGATCCTTAGGATTATCCCGTTGTGATAATTCTAAGAAGAGCAATTATCTCGCTGTTGCCGAGATAGGCGCTACAGTTTCTCGATCCCTTCGCGGATAGACGAAGCTCTGCCCAATTTTTCAGCAATCAGATCTGATCGGCGGTGGTCCACGGATAAACCCCGGCATAGGCAAAGATCCCACACAAGCAGAAGACCGATAAATGATCTCTGCGTTTGTTTGATAAAGTTGTAAACTTTTTATTTTCATTGTGTAAGGAGATCTTATAAAAAGATCAACTTTTTATTTCACTCGAGTTTATTGTAACGACTAAAGTTGTAATAGATTCGATAACAATAAAAACATCAACTTTCACCGCAAACAACCACTATCCAGCTTCTCAAAATTAGAGAACCATTCCCTTCTAGGGCACACATGATAGGTCACATCACTATCCAACATCCATTCAGATTCCTCCGAATAGCTATCTGTAGGACTGATAGAAAGTGAATAAATAGAAGAGTCGGAATTATTATCATCCAATACGATGTTTGCTTCTGATGATGGTTGCTTTCCTTTTCCCTCCTGCTTATTCTTCATCCATTCGTCGAGATTTGGACAGTCTTTCTTCCAATGACCAGTCTCTTTGCACCAAGCACACTGATATTTTCCAATTGTAGGATGTCCTACTCTAGACTGTGACTTCCAATTCTTTCGGTTTGGACCCTTCCCTCTTGCGACCAATGTCTCTGCTACCGACTCAGTCGAAGTCTCCTTATTTCTTTCGAAGCTGATAATTCACCAGTGCAGCAGTGACCTCACTATACGAAAGAGATGCCTTCCCATTAATCAGAATAAGGACGAAGGTCTCATATTCCTCTTCGGACAAGGAACTCAACAACAGCAACGCCTTGTCCTTATCTTCAATCATGACATCCACATTCGCTAAATCCGCAAGAAGCTTTGTGTACGTGTTCATGTGATCTCTAATTGAGGTTCCCTTCTTCAACTGGAAACGATAAAGTCTCCTCTTCAAATGCAAGCGGTTCTCAACACTCTTTGTCAGATACTTGCTTTCGAGAATCTCCCAAATCTTCTTTGCAGAAGTCTCATTCATCACATCATATTTTAGATCTTGAGTCAAACAAGATCTAATCACACCACACGCCGTTCGATTCATCTTCTTCCAAACCTTCTCTTCAATCTCATCTGGTTTGCCATCTAACTCCAAGGTATCCTCCAAATTTTGCGCGTTCAGCGCATCCAAAACCCCGCATCTCCATAATCCAAAATTGTTTGTGTCATTAAACTTCTTCACATCTATCTTCATAGAGTGGATATTCAAACTCTGAATGGTCTTCGCGCCAGAAGCACCACCCTCGACACCCGAAGCACCTTCTTACCCCGACATCTTTCTCAACACACCAACGAACGAAGAATAGATCCAAAACTAAAAAGATAGAGTTTATACCAAAAGATCCCACCTTTATCACCAAACGAAGCCCTAGACGAGCCTCCAAATTAATCTACTCCTCCAAATTGATCTACTCCTCCAAATAGCCCAAGCGTAGCCCGAGCTCTGATACCACTTGTTGTGCGCAGCGAAAATTTTGGCAGAGTTTCTGGTGCACAATAAGAGAGAAAGATCCCAATAAGAATTCCCGTCTCACCAATGAGACAAGAATCTGAAGCGAATATCTCAACAAAGTGAGATATCGGCTCTTCCTCTCATCAATTCTAGGACTGACTTGTCGATGGATCCTAAAAACTATTACAATGACCACAAACACAAACAAACGATTTTACGTGGTTCGGCAAACTGTCTACGTCCACGGGGCAAGGAGGGGGAAGATCTACTATTAGAGGGAGGGATACAATTAGGGTTTACAATCACTCAATCTAAACCCTCACATAAATTCTCAGATCCCTCACACAAATATCTCTCTCAAAACAGCATAAACCCTAGGGAACAAACTGCACGCCACTGCCTTGCACAGCCGCAACACCTTTTTCTTCTGATTTGCGCTGCCTACACGCTGCCCAAGCTAAAAGAACCTCTGCACGTCACTGCTTCTTTGCCCCTGGTTGCTTGCACTAACCCCAACCAAAAAATCCACCTTGCACTTGCTTTTCTGCTGCAGCCGCACCCCCTCACACTTTGCCTTGCACAAATTCCGAAACCCTAGAACTAGGCTTTTATAGGGTAAATCTCGGGTGAGCCTCTTTGTCCACTGAACTAAACAAAGTCCCCACAAAGTTCACTTGCTCACGCGTTTTTGATATCATCATATGGGATGTGGTCCCCACACAATGAAAGAAAAACGCGTCCAATTCGTTCACCTGGGAAGTTTTCCCAACCGGCAATTACATGGGTGTGGCCCACTCGTTCATTCACAATACACAAGATTAATAGTCCCGTGCATTTAGAGAACATTAATTACAAAAGTAATTAAAGTCAGAAAATATACGGACTACCACTCTTGCATATTTTGTAGTTAGAACCAGAAAATACATGAGACTATTGTATATGTCATGTATACAATATAATTACTCCATGCAAGTAAGTTATAATAGCATTTTCCATTCACATTGTTTGAGATAAGATTTGATAGGGACCTTGCATCAAAGAATTTTTTATATTTAAAGTACATGGCAAAATATATCATAACCTCCCTGCTCTAATTTCGTAAGAAAATAATTCTTCATACATTTAGTTTTACTTCTATTGTACGGAGAATGAGCTATAAAATTGAATGAGAATATTAGATAATGTAAATAGGAGTGAAACCACAACTAAAAGTTAATGTGAATGTGAGTCAAACCACAACTAAAAGTTTAATGGACATATTACAAGTAAATTCATATGCAAAATTCATTTGCAAATTGAATGATCACCCATCTTTTAAAGATTTCAAGATACTAATAAACAAAGATATAGTACTAAATCAATGTGTTTATAACTCACAAATAGTAGATCACGTGGTGACAATCTAGGTTGAAGGAAACAATAACAACATTTTATTTGAAAGAGAGATTATTGAGTTGATGATCAATCCCGCAAAAAACTTTATTTTCTCTTTTTTATTCTATTTTTATCTATCCACGTTCATTACACGTGCACTCCAACTAGTATACTAACAATTAACTGAAAAGGTAATGTTACTATAATTTCTTCATTTTTTTTTCTGAATGGGGGCTGCACGACTGTCATTTTCCAAGAACCCGTCCATACAAATCAAACAATATAATGTAATCAATTTAGGATTCATAAGGGAAATACAAACAAAACCAAGTAAATAGCCAAATAAAAAGTGATGAGGTGTGTAATCACTTTCCCTCATAAACACCCAATTTCATAGACGGCGTCCAAACAGCCCGAAACAACACCGAAGACCGCGAAGACTGCCACTATGTAAAACCCAATTTTTGAAAGGCCTCTCTCGTCTGGCCAATGGGCCGGATTATGTATTCCTCGCTCCTACCCGTTATCACCCCTAGGAACCATCCCAGATTCGATTAAAACCCTCTCTCAGGATTAGGGTTAGGGTTCCTCTCTCTCTCTCCTTCTGAGAGAGTCCGCCATGGCGAACCGAACGGATCCCAATGCGAAGAGCATCCACGGCACAAACCCTCAAAACCTAATCGAAAAGATTGTGAGATCGAAAATCTATCAGCACACGTACTGGAAAGAGCAATGCTTTGGGCTCACCGCCGAAACCCTAGTCGACAAGGCCATGGAGCTCGATCACCTCGGAGGAACCTATGGCGGAAATCGAAAGCCCACCCCCTTCATGTGCCTCGTCATGAAGATGCTCCAGATCCAGCCTGAGAAGGACATCGTCGTCGAGTTCATCAAGAACGAGGACTACAAGTAAAATTTCCCTCCATTTTTATTACTATTTTTATATCGCCGTTGGATTTTTAAACTTTGAAATTCTGAAGTCTGTATTTGCCCATAAAAATACCAAAATTTTACGCTTTTCACCTAACATTTCTGCAAGGGTTGGATCGAAGGAGAAAATAGAAGAGTTGTGAAGAGTTTAAGGAATTTTGGGAGTTTGGGTTTTTGTTGAACCTTGCGGTAATTTTAGGGTAAAAAAGAAAGGGGTAAACTTTAGGGTGTTAAGTGCGAATAACCTTTGCCTGAATAGTTTCTTGTTAATTCTTCTTTTCAATTTAGGGTTTACACAGTTTTTGTTGTGCATATTGTTAAACAGAAGCTCTCTTTTCTGCAGTTGAATGCCAAAATGCCACATTTCAAAGTTTTTAATTGAAAGCAAGAAGGAAGAGAGGGACTTGAAGAGATTTCTTTTCAATTTGGGGATGTAAAAGTGCAAGTATTATCACCTTATATTCAATATTACGTCTTATTGATCAGAATTCTGACCGTTGTGTAACGAAAGGCACTAAAGTTAAAATTGTGATTATTTGAACAAATTTAACCTTCTGGGTAGCAAAGTTAAAAATCAATAAAACTTTAGATTATAAAAGTGCAATTAATCCTTTTTCTCTTATTCAGTTTCTATTTTGGAAATTTCTGTTTAACTGATTGGGATTTTTTGAAGGTATGTGAGGATTCTTGGAGCTTTTTATTTGAGATTGACGGGGACGGTGACGGATGTGTACCAGTATCTTGAGCCATTGTATAATGATTATCGAAAGCTTAGGCAGAAGCTTCCTGATGGGAGTAAGTTTTTTGAATTTTTTTAAAATTATAGTTTTTAGTGTGTTTTCGGGACAATAACTGATTTGGGGTTACATATTGTTGTCATTGCAGAGTTTAGCTTGACTCATGTAGATGAAGTGATTGACGAGCTTTTGACAAAAGACTATTCTTGTGATATTGCACTTCCGAGAGTGCAGAAAAGGTACTTTCTCAATGCTATTTGATGTATGATTATTTTATAAGCTTCTTTTGATAGCTTGAGCTGTTTCTGAAAACTAACCATCTTTTTACTAATAGTATGAGTTCTGGAAAAATGTACTAGTGTAAGTCGGATTTCTTTCTCACTCATCTTTTCTGGTTAAAAAAAAATGAGGGTGTTTCTTAAGAATCTGGTAGATCTTATCACCAACATAATTGCAAGGAACTATTTTGAATAGGGCAGGATTTTTTGCAATTTATTCCTCAGAAATTATTTAAGAAATGTTTATGTTGCAATTTTTTAAGTGGTTTAGGTTTTATAATAAGAAAAAAGCCAAATTGTGGAACAAAAGTGCTGCCACTTAGATCTTATCTTATGATTCTTTTTGTTGAAGGTTGGCTATAATAAAAATACTTACAGTTCACTGTGTCTCAGTTTTAACTGAATTTTGGAGATGGCCTCAAACAAGCCACTGCATTGTTCTTCTGATTAGATATTCAGGTTTGATATACTCTTAGAAGTTTCTGTAGGATATGAGTTTTTAGGATTTGTTGGTTAATTTATTGATTCTATGTTCACTAAAATCAGGGTCTATTTTTTCATTTTAGAGTTCTGATCATATTTTGAGTGCATGAAGGTTTAGAAAATGATATCATTCATGTACACACACACACACACACAATACACACATAATATATTTGTTTTCACTTATCAATTATAAAATGATTAGTCTTTAGGAAGGATCTTTGTGTTATTCCACTGCTTTCATTGTCAAGTACTCAAGCCAGAGTTGATACTGAAATTACATGGTTAAATGAATACATTTAGCACTTTTACATGAGGAACCTTTCATGTATAAGTTCAAATCTGGCGACAAAATGGCGATGACACCCTAATCTTCGTTCTAAAGTTTTCTAAGAGCGTCTTAGAACATGACCAAGCACCAGTTTGACCTTTGTAGGTGGTGTGATACGTACACCATACCAAAATGAATATTCTCATGTTGTGAGTTTAGACAATTAACAACTGAGACAAAAACTGCATAAACATTTTGAGTTTGACTAATCAGTAGTCCTGTATGAAAGGATCAGTTTCAATTTCTGGACGCTAATTTGCTTCTACCTTTTAATTTGCTTGATTGACTCATCTCTGTATATTGAATTGCGCAGATGGGCTGTTTAAGCTAGAGGCATCTTCTTTACCAACTTCTTGATTTTCTTAGTTATTTCGTTCCCTCCTGACATTTAATGCGAATCAAAGTTTTTCCTAATAATTTATTAAAGCTTATCATTAAATTTTTAAGGAGTGATTACATGAAAGGATGTTGTATTATTTTTCTAAAAAATTCAAGAGATAGTTTATGTTGTCAATTTTGTAATGTCATTTCGTTAAGTGACAAAATGAAAGCCAATTTGCAGAGCATTTGTTAAGTGACAAAATGAAAGCCAATTTGCAGAGTGAAGGCATCGTGATTCACGTGGTGTTACCTTTGCATTGAAGGTTGGCAACAATAATTTGCAGTTCTCCGTGCCTCTTAGATTCATCTTTAGGTTTTAAGATGGCCTCGAACAAGCTGCTACATTATTTTCTCCTCTTTTCTTATTTGTTTTTCATGATTGAAGGTTTGCAACAATATAATTTGTATTTCTCCATGCCTTTTAGTCACCTCAGTTTTTACAGTGGCCTCATGTGAGCGGCTACATTATTTTTTTGTACTTATTTGTTTATGATTATTGATTTAATATTTTAATCCAACTTGTGTTGTTAAAAAAAACATAACGATCTTCACTGACATTGTTTTACAAGACTGAAGCTTTACATTTTGAATTGATAACTATAAATTGCTTTGAAATTTGGAAGGTTTTAGTAGGATTTGATGTGATATCCCATTAATTTCATTGTTGATACATGAATTGTCATTGAAGATACAACTTTTACGCGAGAAATCTTTCATGTAAAAGTGCCAACATTGCAATGCTACAATGATGGTATAATAATTTTCATTTCGTTAAGTGTATTAGAGCGTTGAATATATCTGGTAGCATTTGTACCCATATCATTATGGTTTTTTTAGACGTACAACTAACCAAGATGGAGCCAGTTGTCTTGCAGATTTTGGAGGCCAATTTGATCTCTAGTTAATCTTGTTATCAACTTAATATATTTGAGTTACTAATATGCCTATTGGATTTGACAGGTGGGCTCTTGAAGCTTCTGGAGCCTTGGAACCTCGAAGAAGTGCTTTAGAGGATGATTTTGAAGAGGAAGAAGAAAAGGAAGAGGATGAACAGGCTATGGACATAGATAATGGATCATATGAGAAGGTGAGTAGTTTTTTTAATTAAGTTTTTAGACGTATTTTTCTGAAGTTGCCATTACTAACTTGTCTCTTTGAACAG